GAGAGTGTGTGTGAGTGTGAGTGTGTGTGTGAGTGTGAGTGTGTGAGTGTGAGTGTGTGAGAGTGTGTGTGAGTGTGTGAGTGTGTGAGTGTGTGTGTGAGTGTGAGTGTGAGTGTGTGAGAGTGTGTGTGAGTGTGAGTGTGTGGGTGTGTGTGAGTGTGAGTGTGTGAGTGTGTGGGTGTGTGTCACTGTAACATATTGTTACATTTCGGTCTTCAGTAAAAATATAACCCTTCAGGTCAGAAGTGGAGAGGTATTCTGTCTCTCTGAAGTGTGCACCGAGGATGCGTAAGTTACTTGGATCACCTTCTTGGACTTTGGCACGTAAGCAAACAAGATATGGCGGGTGGCCATCTGCTGTGTCCACGGAAGCCCAGCTTCTGAGAGGGGAGGAGGGGAGCTCGTGGGCCCTCCAGCCTTGCTCTCCGACACGGGACTGGGAGGCTCCGGGATTCCCGGGGTTCAGCAGGAGGTGGCCGTCCTCCAGCGCGACCTCAGGGTTCCAACCTGAGACCTGGACAGGGAGACTCCCCTGGCGGGGGCCAGCTTGGGGCCCCTCCCCCTGCACCCCCCGCACTCCTTCATCAAGCAGCTCCTGCTGTCTAACGTGCTCAAGACGGAGACCGTGTTGTGTGTTTTGCTGTCGGGTGTGAACCACCAGGGCCCAGGAAGGAGCTTGGGCAGGGGAGGGCAGGGGAAGGAGGTGGACTGGGGCTGAGAGTCACCCCGGCGTGTCGTGTCATGCTTAAGTGTGCGCCTCCCGTGCGCCAGGCACTTGTGACGGTGCAGATACACCCTGTTGAATCACACGGTCGTGGTCTCTCCTTGGTGGAACTTGCAGCCCCATGGAAGAGACAGATGAAATAAATGTGTAATCTCAGGTCGGCAAAACTGTGACGATGCAAAAGAGCCAAATGCACGGATGGGAACATTCACAGGCCTTCGACTGGTTTTGTTCCAGCCACACTGTGCTTCCTGTTGGGACCTAACACTTCAAACAACGACCTGCCTCAGGCCCTTTGCACTTGCTGTTTCCTTTGCCAGGTGCTCTCACCCACAGAGCTGCATGGTTCACTCACTACATTTATGTCTCTGTTTGAAAATCACATTTCAGAGAGATTGCCTTTGACCACCCCATTCAAAATATCACCCCGTACACCAACAGATTCCCTCTCTGTGCACACGGCCTGCTTTGTCTTTGTATAATGTGAACACCTAGTACTTTGTGTAATGTGAACAGACACGTAGGTCTATGGAGGCCCCCACAAAACACATGTTTGCTGTGGACCTACTATGTGCCACACACTGTAGCAGGGGTTGGAGCGGTGGAAATAGGTAAGCGACGTCACTGCCATCGCAATCCCCCTTTCCACTTGAGGACAATCTGTCTGTGAATCGGGGTGTCCCCCGAGGCAGCCCTATGCCCTGGGGAGGAAGACGGAAATGGGATCAAGTGAGTATTGGAACACACTGTGAGTGTCGGACAGAGGGGATCACGGGGCCACCCTGCGGTGGTGACATTTGAGCAGATGTGACGCCTGGGAGAAGGGAGGACACGGGACATGAACTGTCCAGGAGGAGGGGACTGGACTTGCCCAGGCATTGCAGAGGGGAGGGAGTAGGTGAGGAAGAGCCAGCCAAGGGGACAGGGGACACGGGGCTCCGCAGCTGTGCAGGACTCTGGAACTCATTCTGCAGGGGACGGAAAACCTCCCGAGGAGATAAAAGAAATTTTATTAACGTCAAATTTATCCAGGTGCCATTTGCATAGAATAAAATGCTCCCCGATGAGTATACAGTGTGACCACACGACACGGCCGCTCCAGGCCATGCAGGACGTCCCCACCACGCCCCAGAGCTTCCTGGGGCACTTTGCAGTCAAGCCCTGCTGACCCCAGGCTGCATGGATCTGCCTTCTGTCCCCAGAGTTGGTATCTTCTGGACCTTCCCATAAGGGCGTGTGCATCTGTAGGGGATGTGGGCTTCTCTTCTGTCCCCGACTAGGGATTGATCCAGGCCTCACACAAGCGGGACAAGAACTCCACCTCCGAGCTGCACGCCAAGCCCCCGTCTGTAGACTAACT